ATTGACACGGGGTGACGGAGAAAGAGACTTGACAGTGATTGAGGGCTAGTCGAAAGCTTCATTTTGCCAACCCTAAATCTTTTTTTTTTTTAATCTTTTTGTTGTTGTTTAAATTCAGTGATTTTTCTTTTTCTTTTTTTTCTTTTCCTTCCTTTCTTTCTTTCTTTCTTTTTTTTTTTTTTTTCCAGAGCTGAGGACCGAACCCATGGCCTTGTGCTTGCTAGGCAAGCGCTCTACCACTGAGTTAAATCCCCATCCCCAACCAACCCTAAATCTTTATAGTTAGAGTTGCTAAGCAGTGATGGAGAAGAACCGTGGATTTGCTCTTTAATGGCTGTGTTAGTTTCGCCATTTCAAAACTAAGAACCAGTGTTCTGTGAGGTGAGAAGACTAACAAGGAGAAAGGGAGACAGAGCTCTTGACTCAGAGCTGGGTCTGCTGGGGTACGAGAGAAAGTAAACCAAAGGTAACAGCTGCAGAACTTCTCTGCCCTGGGGGAGGATGGGGGGGGGATGAAGCTGGAGCAAACCATTAGAGGCAGAAGCTGAAGGTCGGTGCTCCAGGAACTGAAGACAGCTGTGCATTCTAGGACCTGAGAGAAATTCAATGAGGCTGGGCAAACAAGTGGACTGGAGAGGCCCCAGGGAGTGTCACATGGATGCAAGGACCCCACTGAGGGGAGACCCTCCAAGCCCTGTGCAGGAGAAAGGCATGATGCCACCTACCTTAGATGTGTTCGTCTGCATTCAGTGTGAAGGGAGGGTAGGAGGGAGGCAAGATGAAGGGAAGACAGCCTGACTGGAGGGCTGTTGAGGCAAAGCAGGCTGTGGATGATGGTACTGAAGCTAAGGCCACAGAGGTGAGAGTTGAGCAATGTTCAGAAGTGGCGGGACCGGTCGGTCGGCTCAGCAAAGGAAAGACGGACAACAGCTAGTGTTCAGCTCTGGCTTCAGCAACCCTGTGGACTGTGGTGCCACTCACCTGCGCAGAGACTAGGTGGAATAGTAGCTGGCCAATGAGAGGGGTTTGGAGGGGTAGGAAGAGGAAGGTAATGAGTTCCGTTTCATCCATGCCGTGTCTTGAGTGCCCAGAAGATGCTGAAGCAGAGATATTCGGTTTATACTTGGTCCTTAGGAGAGGTGACTTGAAGAAACCAGTCTAGAAGTCAGTGCTGTGTAGAAATGAATTAAATGAATTAAAACCACAGGGACAGAACAACTAGAATTTCTTCCTTGAACAATGCCAAGTGGGAAGCAGATTGAGTTCAGAACACCAAGGGAATCCTCTTCAGTAAAGGATCAGCAGCAGAGAAAGAAGGCGGAGGGGGTGCACAAAGAAAGAAGGAAGCCACAAGAATGTATACCTGGTGGGGCTGGAGAGATGGCTCAATGGTTAAGAACACTGACTGCTCTTCCAGAGGACGTGGGTTCAATTCCCAGCACCCACATAACAGCTCACACCCATCTGTAACTCCAGTTCCGGAGGACACAACACCCATGGCAAACACCAATGCACATAAAATAAAAATAAATAAAATTTTAAAAATGGAATGTACACACAGAAGCTTAAAGAGCTTCCAGCTAGTATCAGGAAACAGGATCTAAAGCTGCCAGGAGGTCATGACATCTGGGAAGTCTTTACCATTGTCACGAAAGCAGCAGATGTGGCATCCTGTGCACCACTACACCTTTACCCCAGCGCTGCCAAGTCAGAGGCAAGCAGACTTTGTGAGTTCGAGGCCAGCCTGCACTACATAGTAAGGTCCAGGCCAGTCAGGGAAACACAGCGACACCCTGCCTCAAGTCAGTCTCTGGAGAGATGGATCAGCAGGGTAGGAGCTCTTGTGGTTCTTGCAGAGGATGCATGCAGGCTTGGTTTCCAGCACCCAGGTGAAGGTTCACAACTGTCTGTAACTCTGGACCTTGGGGACCTGAAACCTTCTTTTGGCCTCTGTGGGCACCAGGCATGCACATGGTGCACATTAATACATGTAAGAAAACACTCATACACATATACTAAGATAAATAAATCTTTTTAAAAAATAACCAAAATAACAAAAACCCAGCAGAGATGTGTTCACCAAATTTCAGAGATTAAACTGGCTTGGATTAAAGGCCACGTGTTTAAATGTCTAATTCTCAAATATCCATCCCAGGCCTGTGCCTCAAAACCGTGCAGCTTAGTCCCCTTACTAATTTAAAAACAAATCAACTAATATCCTAGTTTCAGACAGCAGAGCATCCTCCCACTTTAATCATAAAGGGGCTTCTTCCCGAGCATTGGTTAACTCACAGCATGGCTCTGTAGAGCCATTGACCACACAGTTCGGAGAAATGACCAGCCACGCCACGGGACTTCTCTAGCAGATACGTCGCTGCTGCTGCTGCCACCTCCTGCTGCTGGGTCCCCATGGGTCTGGGATCTGGTCAGCAGAACCTCTATGCCAGCTGCATAGAAAAGGGAGAAGCCTCGGCAACCATGCCTCCCAGAAGAACCGCATGGCTTCCGCACCACCCTCACCCCACCTGCTACTTCAGGGAGGCAAGCAGCATGACCCCTAGCTACACTCCGAGGGAGTCTGGGAAATGTAGTTCTTTAGCTTCCCGGCTTTTAAAGCCCAGAAAGCCAAGCAAGCTACAATGAAATTGGATATGTATGAAGAGCCAATCACAATATTCGCCACTATCTATCTCTTTTTCTTCCGGTTGGCCTTCTGTTGCTGCAATAAAGGCCCTAACCAAAAGCAGTCTGGGAGGAAAGGGTTTCTTTTACCTCACAGGTTGCAGTCTAACATCTAGAGAAGTCAGAGCAGGAACTCAAGACAGGCATCTGGAGGCAGGAGCTGAAGGCCATGGACAAGTACGGCTTCCTGACTTGTTTCTTATGGCTTGTTCAGCCTGCTTCCTTATACAGTTCAAGACCAGTTGCCCAGGGGTGGCACCATCCACAGTGGAGTGGATCCTCCCACATCAATCATTTCATCATGAAATTGACCTACAGAAGTACCTATGGGCCAGTCTGTTGGAGGCATTTTCTCAAATGAAGTTCTTCTTCCCAGTCAACCCTGGCTTGTGTGAAGTTGACAAAAAACAAAACGGAAAAAAAAAAAAAAAAAAAAAAACAAACAAACAAACAAAAAACTCCACCCAGTATACTTTTCTTACTAAGTTCACCCCTTTCTCATGCTAAAATTACAAACCACAAATTACAAGTATAGCAGCATGGCCATGCCTCTTGTTAAGCAATTATTCCTGGTACATAAGAAACTCCATGCATCTACTGTCTGTGAGATACAGAACCTCATCAAAAAACTATCTTTGGGTAATGAAAGTTTTTTCCTCATCTGTTACAACTAAGTATTGCTACCCTCAAATGTACAGGCTAAACTATGAGGTTAGTCCCGAGTGGAAAGGGGAAAAAGAGAGAAAACAAAAACAAGAACAAGGATGAAGTGCGGTCATGAGGACATAGCTGCCCTTCTAACTTCCTTCCTCCAGGACTTACACAATGCTGCCCACACTCTCAGCCAGAGCTGAAAGGGTTGGCATCACTGACCTGATGGGATGACCTAACCTTCCTTCCCAAGGGAGCCGAGCCTTATATGACCTGACATGTAGACCTCTGAGGTTTTTGCCTGGTTACTCCCCTCCCAACCAGACTGGCCAAAGATAAAGGACACAAATGTCCTCTTGCCCCCTTCAGTGTGTGCCAGAAACTTATCTCCCCATTTAAAATCAGAAATGTGCACCTATGACACCGTACACAATCTATTTTAAAATTTGTTATTGTTTACTGTGTATGTATGATGTGTGGGGTGCACATATGTCATGATATTCATGTGGAGGTCAGAGGACAATTTTGTGGAGTCAATTCTCTCCTCTGACTTTTACATGGGTTCCAGGGATCGTACTCAGGCCATCAGTCCTATATGGCAGATACTTCATCTGCCGGGCCATTTTGCTGGCCCTGCACATGTAATCTGTTTCTTCCTTTGTTCATGAGGCATGAGCGATTCAAAAGGATCGGACCAGACCAGTTCAACAAGACTACTCTTGTATGTCCTGAAGGAAGATTCCTTACTTTGTTAACAAGATTGTTAGAACAAAAATTTTCAGACTTGAAGGGGCCAGCTGTCGTGGCAGCTGTGTCTCAGGATGCAGAGATAGAGGCAGGCAGATCTCTATGAGTTTGAGGCCAAGCCTGGTCTACATAACAAGTTCCAGGCCAGCCAGGGCTATACAGTGATATTCTGTCTCAATAAACAGAAGCAAAAACAAATAACAACAAGAAAACTTGCAGGGTAGGAAGCCAATTTTTTTTTAAGTGAATCATGAGGTTTACTGGTGAGTGTCATTCACAGTTCACGTGTATTGGTTCTGAACCCATGTGCTGTGGGATGGTCTGTATGTCAAATGCTCTGATTGATCAATAAATAAAACACTGATTGGCCAGTGGCCAGGCAGGAAGTATAGGCGGGACTAACAGAGAGAAGAAAGGAGGGAATAGGAAGACAGAGGGAGACACTGCCAGCCGCTGCCATGACAAGAAGCATGTGAAGATGCCAGTAAGCCACAAGCCATGTGGCAAGGTATAGATTTATAGAAATGGATTAATTTAAGCTATAAGAACAGTTAGCAAGAAGCCTGCCACGGCCATACAGTTTGTAAGCAATATAAGTCTCTGTGTTTACTTGGTTGGGTCTGAGCGGCTGTGGGACTGGCAGGTAACAGAGATTTGTCCTGACTGTGGGCAAGCCAGGAAAACTCTAGCTACACCCATGTATTGTGGTCATAGAAGGTGTACATTGGTTATGTTCAGACTGATAGTGTTACAACCTCACAAGCTGTAGTTTTCCAGGTGCTATGGTAACTAGGTGTCCCAAAGGATCTAAAAGTCCCCCGACTCCTGGGTGATTTCACAACAGTGTTACTTGAGTACTTCGTTCATCAGTAATAAAGTCTCAGGTCAGAAGCACCATTAAAAGGATAGCAGAGACTTAGGCATTTAGTAGGTCGATATAGAGAGAAGTAAGAATTTGGAAAATAAACCTATCTATAGGAAACACATGCTACAGTGAGGCAGATCACTGCCATCACCTTAGAAATACATCAGCGCAATCCACCTACCACTGGATGGCTGCCTGATTTTGTAGGGCTGGTAGCTGGATCTGAGAGGTTTGAGTAGTGGTCAATGCAACAAATAATGTTACATATTTACGTCTTGATTAAGTTAGTGCTCATGGGGTTAGACAACCTTGAACCTATGTGGAATCTACATCCTTGGCACCATGGAGATTTTCTAAATATAATTTTTGTTGTTATTGTTTTTGAGACAGGGTCTCATTTTGTAGCCCTGGCTGTCCTAGAACTCTCTATATGGACCAGGTTGGTCTTGAACTCATCGGGGCAGGCGAGGGGAGGGGAGGGAGAAATCTACCTATCTCTGTTTCCCAAGTGCTAGGATTAAAATCACATACCACCACACCTGGCCTAGTAGTATAAATAGCATGTGTACATATGTATGCACATGCATGTTAGTGTGCATGCACACATGCGTGCATTTGTGCCATGGTGCACATAAGGTCAGAGGACAGCTTCTGGGAATCAGTTCTTTCCTTCCATATTGTTAAGGTAGGTTCTTATGGCTAAACCGATGGCCTAGTGGGTAGGAGCACACACTGCTGTCACAGAGGACCTGGGTTTAGTTGCTGACATCCATGCTGGGTGGCTGCCTATGACTCCAGCTCTGGTGGAATCTAACACCTCTGACCTCCTTCACAGATACCTACACTCCTGTGCATATACCCACACACAGACACAGACACATACAATTACTTTTAAAAACCTTTTTCTAAAGGCAGACTCTATCTTATTTCTACATCACAGTGTACTTCAAGGGAGCTGGCCCATGAGCTTCCTGGCAATTCCATCACAGAGACTTCTTAGACAAATCTAATGAACAAAACTTTGATGTCTGGGGACGTCTGTTTGTCCATCTAATTGCTGAGAAAGTCCTCTGCAGAAGTAGTTTGACAGGTAACCACACAGTACACAATTACTCACCTACTCTGGGCACAGTCTGAAGATGGCCATCTTTCTACATCACATGTCCTTGACATAGTCTTTCAATCTTGTTCTTTCCATGCCCTGACTTAAGCCTGCCTGTGAGTCAAAGCAGACCCATACTTCAGGA